GCCCCGCTGTGGGCGGCTCCCGCGGGGGTGGACGGGATTCGCCTCCCTTCCCGGGCTACCCGCGCCGGTGCCGGGCTCCCAGGGGGCCGCGCGTCCCTGCCGCCTTCCATCGCCGCGACCCGCCGCGGAGCTACCGTTCCCAGCCGCCCGGTTAATTGGGTTTGCCTTTTAATTAGGTGTGCGACGCTGGCATGAGGCGTCACCGGCCTCAGCCGTTCGCGTCGTCTGACAGAGAAGCCAGCCGCGGGCCCTGCTGCCTTTGCCCCGGCGCCGGTAATCGACCCCATAAAACATAAAAATACATTTTGTTCCGCCGCCGTGCGCTCCCGGGAGCTGCCGTGTCGCGACGGCGGATGGAGCCGGGGAGCCTGGAAGGTGTCGGTAACGCGCTGGTGACCGGCCCGCGGGTTGCTCGTGTGTAGAAATGTGGTGGCTTCTGTCACTTCTGGGGCAAAACTGACGTGTGTTTTAGCAGAGTTAGCCCTGAGAAGAGCAGGAACGGGAACCTTGATCTGTGTTAGAGGTTGTATTTTCCTCCCATCAACGAAATACATCATAATGGGAACTACGGACCCGTCAGCCTCACCCGTGTGCCTGTGCAGATCATGGAACAGCTCCTCTGAGAAGCTGTGCTAAGGCCCATGGAGGACAGGGAGGTGACGAAAGCCAGCATGGCTTCACCAACAGCAAGTCCTGCCTGACCAACCTAGTGGCCTTCTATGATGGCATGACTAGATCAGCGAACAAGGGAAGAGCTATGGATGTGATCTGTCTGGACATCTGTAAAGCCTTCAGCACAGTCCTTCACAACATACTTCTCTCTAAATTGGAGAAATATGGATTTGATGGGTGGACTGTTCAGTGGATGAGGTTGGAAGGTCACAGCTGGAGGATAGTGATCAACAGCTCAATGTCCAAATGGATACCGGTGACAAGTGGTGTCCCTCAGGGGTCCTTACTGGGACTGGTGCTGTTTAACATTTTCATCAATGACATAGACAGCAGGATCGAGTGCACCCTCAGCAAGTTTGCAGATGACACCAAGCTGAGTGGTGCAGTTGACACACCAGAAGGACGGGATGCCATCCAGAGGCACCTGGACAAGCTCAAGAAGTGGGCCTGTGTGAACCTCATGAGGTTCACCAAGGCCAAGTGCAAGGTCCTGCACCTGGGTCAGGGCAAACCCCCAGTAGCAACACAGGCTGAGGGATGAAGGGATTGAGAGCAGCCCTGCGGAGAAGGACCTGGGGGTACTGGTGGATGAAGAGCTGGACATGAGCCAACAATGTGCTGTCGCAGCCCAGAAGGCCAACCAGGTCCTGGGCTGCATCAAGAGAAGCGTGGCCAGCAGGTAGAGGGAGGGGATTCTGCCTCTCTGCTCTGCTCTGGTGAGATCCCACCTGGAGTCTTGTGTCCAGCTCTGGAGTCCCCAGCACAACAAGGATATGGAGCTGTTGGAGTGGGTCCAGAGGAGGGCCACAAAGATGATCCAAGGGCTGGAGCACCTCTCCTATGAGGAAATGCTGAGAGAATTGGGGCTGTTCAGCCTGGAGAAGAGAAGGCTCTGGGGAGACCTTATAGCAGCCTTCCAGTACCTGAAGGGGGCCTATAGGAAAGATGGGGAAAATATTTTCAGCAAGGCTTGTTGTGACAGGACAAGGAGCAGTGGCTTTAAACTAAGGGAGGGTGGATTTAGACTAGATATAAGGAAGACGTTTTTTACAGTGAGGGTGGTGAAACACTGGAACGAGTTGCCCAGAGAGGTGGTGGAGGCCCCATCCCTGGAAACATTCAAGGCCAGGTTGGACGGGGCTGTAAGCAACCTGGTCTGGTTTAAGATGTCCCAGCTCACTGCAGGGGGTTTGGGCTAGATGACCTCTAAAGGTCCCTTCCAACCCAAAGCATTCTATGATTCTGTGATTTAATAACAATGATTTCCTGTTTTTTTCCTTCAGAAATTGATACAGTACTAAATGATTTATAAGTGTGTTTGTTTTTATGAT